CCCCCGCCGAGCCGCCATCATGTGTCCCAGGCACCCTGTGGCACCCCAAAGCGGGGCCATGGCGTGCCCCAAGGTGGGGGACACCCCCGGCACGTCCACCCCAATGCCCACAGCCGCACCGAACCCTGCGGGGTGGCTGCGCCCCTGCCCAGCATCCACGGGGGAAGAGGGCAGAGAGTGGCGGGGCACGGGCCCCATTCACCCCCACATCAGCAAGTGCGTTTTGGGGGTCGCCCATCCCAAATCCTGAGCAGTCGAGATCATTGCGACCGCATAAACCTCATTTTCAAAGCATCTTGGCTGTGCCGGGGCCGTGCTCGGGAGCTGACCCCTCGCAGCGATGCCCAGACCCCCGTGGGAGCTGGTGGCGGGAGGCAGGGGTGGCCCCGGCCCCTCTCCACACCGTGGCCCTCAACGTGCCGCCTTCACGTACCCGCCGCTCCCTTCGACTCGGGTTTTGTCTCCCCCCCCCCCCGGCCCCCTTTAATTAGATCAAGGAGCAGCAGGGCAGGAGCCAGGAAGGGGCCTCAATAGGTTATTGTTGCCCTAAATTGTAACCAGCACCGGCGGGGTTGGGTTACCGGCTCCGACTCGGGGTCAGCGACCAGACCCCGCTGCCGCGCGCCCGGCGGCCGGCACAGCACTGCCCGGGGACGGTGCCGTCACCGCGTCGGGGCTGGCGAGAACAGCGGCTCCCTTGTGTCGCCGCATCTTTTGGTGTCCCGAAAATGCCCCCTGGGAGGCTGGGAGGTGCCCGCTTGCCGAGCAGGGCTTGGGGTGCCCATGGCGTGGCCGGCTTGGGGCTGCGGCTGGGTCGGTAGGGCCGAGGTGACTGGCTCGGCAAAGGTCCCGGTGAGCTGTGTCCCCATGGTGTGTGCCGGCGCTGGGCAGATCCCCACGGGCCAGGACGGTGGTGGGGGCTGAGAGATGGGCACGGCTGGATCCCCACCGCCCTTCATGGTGCAAAGTCCGCCAGAGCTGGGAGGTGCTGGAGCCGCGACCTGCCTGCGGCAGGGAGCCAGCAAGGCAGGGTGGTTTCGGGGGGGTTTGGGGGTTGTTTGC